GCAACGCTTTCTTACTTACAAGAACCTTGCTATATACAGAAGTCAATAGAAGATATATTTTAGTTTATTAAACACTTATATATTTATTATATATATCAAGCAATGCTTTAATGTAAAATTAATTGGTATTTCACAAGAGTACGGTTTACGCGCAATTCCCTGTACTGATTTTTCAAAACCGATACGTTTTAGTGTGACAAGATATAGCTTACTTCTTCCAAAGTCATTACAACTCTACGATTTTAATGATGATGATGCCATCGTTCGCTACTGTTAGGAAGAAAATCCGACACTGTGCCGGTGTATCGGCACAACTCTAGCCTTATTAAAATGTCAACGTTTATGTCACCTTACAAATCAATCTGACACTTGACTTGGTAAAGAAAGCGCGCCATTCGAGCCAATAGATTCTAACTAATAATGACTAGAACTACCACTGTTCGCTATAAACGTTCACTACCAATTCGCTTGATATATTCCATTACAAAAGAGGCATAACATTGTGGACCACTTAATTTAAACACTGTTTAAAATATTATCATTTAGTACTCATTCTCTGGTATATTATGTACACGATACATTTTAATTGATAAAGTTCTTTGATAAGGGCAACAATAAATATAGCGAGCATCAGTTCAAAGCATGAATGGGTAGAGTTGAACGATCTTGCAAACGGCATTGCTTAAGCCGGCACACGCCGAGAGTCATTCACAATGTACGCAATGTTTATTTTTATTTGTATAGTTATCGACAGGTGAATGGTACCGATAAACGTTAACCAGTTACAGATACATGCCAAAAATTAAAAATAAATGGAAATTTAACTACATAAAAATGGTTACAAAGAAGTATCGAGAAAAAATATTAAATAAGGGTTTTAAAACTAGGAATGATATTAAGTACAATCTTTATAAATTTTGTTAATTTAAACCTCGTTGGCGAAAAGTAATTTGGAATTGTTTTTGTCCGACGTAGCAAGATTGTAGCAAGACGTAGCAAGACGTAACCCTTTCTTGATGAATATTAATCGCAAGCGTTAGTAATATTAGCTCAAACAGAATAATAATAGTTTCCTTTTTTCAAAACGGTATTGCAAAATATACGTCAGAGCTAATTTAGCGTTTGATATTTCTATTAACAGTTTCATCATTGCCGGCACCGGGAATGGGAAGGGGAATCGAGTTAGCACGAGCTCTACGACTAGCAAATTAAAAGCAAACACACAGACCGTCTGCTGCCTACTGATAACTGAACGGTGTAATGGATCACTATTTCTATTGCATAAACATTTTTGTTATACTTTCACAGATATCTCTATGTGAATACATTCTATTTATTCGTAAAATTAATTAAAAATTGTTTTACATAGATCCTTAAAAACAAACAACTGAAGCTAATACCAGTATTATTTAGCTTACATCTTACTAATATTATAAATGCGAATGTTTAGATGGATAAATGGATGTTTGTTTGAAGGTGTCTCCAGAACGGATTATCGGATCTTGATGAAATTTAGCACACATATAGAACAAAGTGTGAAAGAACACATAGGCTACTTATTAAGTTTTTTTTTTTATAATTACGCGCGGTTGAAGTTGCGTACGACAGTTAGTCTATAATTTTTAATTGTTTTAATACAAAGTCATTTTAAATAAGCGTTTATAGTAATTTAATACGGTATGGAGTAACAATGTAAACTTGACAACCACTTGTGTCAGTAACATAAAATTGACGGTTGCCGATTTGTGTTCGCAGACACGTAAAGCAGTAAAATACAATGTAAACCATCCAATGTCACGCACATTTTAGTTCCATATCACTAACGACAGCCTGTGTAAGTATCAAATAACATGAATAATAATCTCTTTATCGAAAAATATCACATACCATTTCCCATTGATTTTATGCCTAAATAGGACAGATAAGATGAAGTAATATCATGTCAGAACTATAATTAAAATTCTTAAGTAAAGACCAACACAGTTTGTTGTTTTTTTTATATCATAAGGTGGCAAACGAGCGAGCGGCCATCTGAAATCGCTGAAATAGCGAAGTGATCGTTGCCCATAGACATACGCAATTACATATGCGTTGCCTACCTTTAATCGACGGAGGAGAGAATGCACAGAATGAAAATATTTCCCTTTCCATGCATCCTCTCATCCGGAAAGTCCACTACCTCTTTCCATCCTTTTCTTATAAGAAAAAGGGTGGAAAGTGAAAGAGGACTACATAAGGCCTCCGGGACGAACACTCATCAGACGAAACGCGGAATTGCTTCCGCTTCACGCCTGTCTTCTGTGTGGTCGTGGTATTTCACCGGGGAAGCCGGGCCAATTCGTGCAAAGATGTTCAAGCGGGCTCTACCACTGTTGAAAATATGTTTTAAAGTCAATTCTAAAACATCAAATACACTACCTTAGGTTTACTATTCGCGAATTCCGAAAGAGTTTCAGCGACTTGAATTAAAGATGTAGTAGCAATTTTAATCTCAAAGATTGATTTCGTTGAAGGAAATAAATTACTTTTATATCACCCGTCATCCGTCCGAAAACCCAGTCTGCAGTCGTAGACAGATTTTTGTGTTACCGGACAACTTGTTTGCCTTCTAGAACCATCTACAGTTTCATTAGGATTTTGGTGCGCACAAAGACCGTTCAGCCTAAACCTCGAATGAAGTCAGAAGTTAGGAACTCGCTATTAAACTGCTATACAAGGTCGTAGATTCATAATCAAAGATTTATAATAAATACTAATTAACTCAAACTGCTAATATTGTAAAAAAGCGCTTAGTGAAATGTTACCGGTGTTTACAAACATAAGATTCTTATCGTTATCGTTACTTAATTCGTAGGTGTGAATATAATTATAATGATTTAATATAAACAAATTAAAAAAGCAATTTGATATCTTTGATGAGTATAACTTTGTCACACCCCAAGTCAATTATTTATCATTACACTTTGTGTAATAAAGCTACATGTTTGCTTTTCCTCCGGAACTTCAGTTGTGATAGTAAACTATTTTACGAGTTTTTCTTTACTAAAAGATAGTCTTTGTTCAGGCTCAATTCGGTTTACGAGCCTATTCACGGAGAAAACAGTTGGTTGTAACAAAATAATTTTCTGAGTTGATATAAACTTGCTAAATATAAGTTCTTACGTCTTTGTCCCTGGCGGGTAATACAAACCCACTGTAAAGTATATCCTCATTACGTAGAGAGTTTAGTGAGTCCCAAATTACTTAAGGTCGCCCGCGACTCCGTCCGAGTGTACTTAATATAACATAATCACTAGCCTATGTGTCCTTCAAACTATGTTCTATATGTATGCCAAATTTCATTGATATTCGTTCAGCCGTTCTGGAGATACCTTAAAACAAACATTCATCCATCCATCTAAACATTCGCTTTTATAATATTAGTATGACTTGTGTATTAACGAAATAACTTCATAGCATTATTAAACTACATCAAAAGAGAAGAAATACTCTACTTTACTGAGGCACATAAAATAGAATACTTCAATCCCATTGTTTGATATTATCTTCAAGGGATCTTAGAGAATATGGACGCTATAAAAGCTATACACTGAGTATTGGGTACTCAGAAAAGTCAATTCTTCAATAACAAAAAGTTATTTGCGATAAGCGGAAAATAACGCTTCTGTTATTCCTAGTAATAATATTAATCTTACGGAATATAATTTGAAGAACAAATCAAATTAGTATTGATCATATCTTTCAAATAATGATAAGAATCGAGGTACGGAATTAAATTGTAAAAACACTAGATTTGTGACCATACCCAGTAAGGAAACATCAAAAGAAGCGTCGTCTAATCTTTTTTAATTGTTTTAATTTGCAAACATTATTGCCAGCTCCTACACCGTAAAAGGCGATTTCGCGCAGATTTGAAGTTAGTCAGATTCCTAAACAGAATCGCAATACTCAGTAAATCACATCCAGGCAAAGTTATCAAAATGCTCAAATAAGAAATATTTATATACTGTTTATATTAAAAATTTAACTACGAATTATCAAAAGTTTATATTGAGGTTAGTATTTCCCAGTAGTTGGTAAAACAGAAAGAACTCAATGCTAGCATTTAAATAACACATTTAAATATGAAATTAATTCAACACGCCCGTCGTCTTTTACTGATATCAAAATTCTATATTTAGATCACCCATGTTGTCTGTGTGTCTGTCCTTCTTTCACGCAAAAAGTACTGAACCGATTTAAATTAAATTGGGTTTACAGATTGTCTAGATCCTGGGAAAGGACATGGGCTACTTTTTAACGGGAAAAAGGGGTTGTAAGGGGTTGGAAATTTGTATGCATGTATTTTTAGGCTGTTAATTTGGTATAAATAAATATGAAATTCAATGTTTATAAAAATTTTACCCTCAAGGATGGAAAATAACAATAAGTGATGAAAGTTTCTGTTAGAATATGTATGTGAAGTTTACGTGAATGTTTTGTGAGTTTAACATATTTTGTTGTTATGTAGTGATAGTAAAATAAGTAGCCTAAATAATTAAAATGCTACCCAAAGACAGTATTTACGCAGATGAAGTCGCGGGCACAGTTAGTATTGAATATTTGCGACTGGTTTTGAGACTGGTTAATTGATAACGTTTAATTATTGGTAGTAATATAAATTCTGTAATTTGATACTAACTACAATAATGTTGAGTTCGTGTATTATGAGATAGTCATGTTATTTTGCAATCCTATCAACAAATTATCACATTGTTAGTACGATTACGTATAAATAGATTTACAGCATCACGCTGAAAACAATTACTAAGCATCAAACATCTTCAATATAATTTTTAACCATTATACAATAAATATATTGTATAACTATATAAAATAAGTTTTTATGTAATATTTATACGTAAAATAATTGCAGATCGAGATTTAGGTAATCGAAGATGTCGAATTATCACATAGAAAGAATAAATAAAACAGTTTTAGTATCTTGTATCACAACTTACCGGTAATTCGTCATTGTATTTGGAACGTGTCGAGCCGGTCGCACTGGGACGTTCCAGAAGAAGCAGTTCAGTGAGGATAATCACACCGAAGACAGCGAAGAACATGATGAAGATAAAAAAGCTGATGTTGGCGCGCTCCTTAGCGCGGGAAGGAGCCGCGCGCGCGCGCCAACGCATTGTGCAGGCAGTACCATGAATGAGCAGCGGCAAGGGCACAACACTACCGAGCCTCAGGTCACCAGGGCCACATCCCCCTCGCGACGCGTCACAACACAACGCCCGCTCACACTGACGCAACACACAATGACAGCGCTCAACTAGCTTCCACCCGACAGACAGCGAGACAACGCTCCGGGTTGCAAACGTTAATTTTATTTATCTACTATTTTATTATAAAACACAGAATGCTTTTCATATTATCTTATGAATCTTGAAATAACTTAAAACTAATTTTATTACAACTAATTATAAAATGTAAATAAAGGGTGTTTTAAAAAAAAATTGTTTTCAAATTGTAAAGGCATACAGAGTTGGATTATACGTCTCGATTAGATTAGACTAGCCATATCTTAGATCTTAGATTATCCAATGGACAAATCTTTTGATTACATTGACACGTCGTATAGCTTGTTATTCATATCCTAGACAAGTAAAAGTCTGTATAAAGTTATGGTAATACTTAAAATAATCTTATTTGCTTCAACTCCAACATCCACAAATCACTGATCGATGGAATTTCACTCAAGTTTAATATGTCTTATTTGAATCTTATGTATTAAAATATTATAGTTCTTAAAAAAACACTAATTTTGTAAAATTTGTCAGCCTCTAGCAACACAGAAACGTGGGTATCGTAAAACGCATGCGCGCCGCCCGCCCCTCGTTCAATGACTCGTTTCGTTGACAACGATTACTGACAACGCAGAGCTTTCCACAAGCTTCGTCTCTAACTCTAAATAAATAATGACCATTATTGTATTTTGACTATTGTATAAATTAAACAATAAACTAGCTAGGAACTACTGACCCATGTTAATGATTACTAGTATTTAACTTTAAGTTTAATAGGGCAAGAAGTAGAGTAACCAGATTGTTTACTTTATTTAATTTAGCTTATTTCTTTTTCAAAAATATTAGGTTAAATATTATACTAAACAGTAGGCAAGTTTTCTTTACGTATACCTATGTTTTGTAGTAGATCTAGGAGCAACTGACAAGGTTATTTTCGCATCAATAGACACCGGGCGGCCCTTTCATCTGGCTTTTCCACAGCCAGGTAGAGGTAGAGGTTTTGCTAAAAATAAAACATTGTTCGATCTGTTTGTTAATGCTTGTTTCAATATTTGCTCTATTTTGTCGTTTCTTTATAATACTTTCATTTTATTTGTTTTAGGGCATAGATTTTTTTACAGAAATTGTAAAATAAGTAAATATAGGTCAGGTTTAATTTTTCCTTTGTTTGTATTTTTATAATATGATTGTTTGAACGAAATATATATTTCGTTATATTTTTTTTTTATTTACGTTTTTTAAACATACGCGTAAATACATAAACGTGTTTTCTTTCAGACCTTTATAGTCATCTCTTTATAAGCAACTCTTTCCTCTCTCTCTCTCTCCATCTCTCCGTCTATCTTTCGCTCTAAATTTTCTCTTACTTAATTCCTGTCTGGTTTTCAAAGTCAAGTACCGTTTTTTCGCAACAATCGGCTTCGAATCGAACCTAAGACATTCTCGACCTCAATATATTTACAACTATAATGACATTAAATGTTTTAAATAGGAAAAGTAGGTAGCCTAACCTTTCTGACAGAGTATTTGACCAAATATTTAAGCTTTTCTTTCAAGTAAAGGTAAGATTGGCAAAGGAAGATTGATTATTCAAAAGTATTCAAACGAAGTCAGTGCTAATTACTAAGTAACAACTTTATACAAACTGACCTGGCATGCTATTTAACCGGTTTCACAGTACAACACCTGCATGTTTTTGCCATCATGGTGCTAACAACCTAACAGCCTGTCACAATAATAAATACGTATGTACGACATACACAATGACCCGACGCAAGACCAGTGCGAATTATTGTCAATTAACACATCTGCCTCTGTTTGGGTTAGTGAACCCGGCGGAAAATTCATATCCTCACATATTGCAGATCAGAGGCAAAGCAGGTCAACATTTCTTAAGCCAGGGGAAGCGACATCGACATGATCAAAATTGTTTTCTGGCATTTTAAAAGTGATCTTATCCCTCTATAATAATTCTTCTTTTATAAAATGTTAACACTTTTTTTTATATATTATAATTATTACTGAAATTTGTTATGAAATATATTTATCTATTAAGATCCAAATTGGAAGGACGGCCATTGTTATTATTAACTGATATAATAGGAACTAGAAATCGTTGCCCACCTGTAGGTAAAACAATATCCCCGCCATTTCAGTAAATATGTATATTAGTTGCGACGCCATCTTTTGGCAAAAAGTCTCGTTTTAGAATAGTTAAAATTTTCAAATATGAATATATATTTTATATATTCTTTGATATGAATTTGAAAGGAAAAACATTACAATTGCTTATTATTTAAGATAAATTAGTAAACAAAACAAAAATCTCAAAAGATACTTTCAACAAGCGAATACTAAAGGCTGCAAATAGCAGTAGAAGTTCTGCCAATGTAAAATAAAAAGTTGTATTATATTCCTACAAGTATGATAAATAACCCAACGAATTACTTATTTAAACTATATGTAATCAAGTAAATTATGAAAACTAGTTTTAAATATTATTATTAGTAAAACCAAAAGCTTTATAAAATGTACTAGACGTAAGATAGTCTTTGATTATCTGTGGAAGTGGACAACTGTCCAGTGTGACCAGAATTAGCACAATTCTGCTATTTTAGCAGAAATAAAGTGTCAATTTATGGCTTAGCAGATTATGTAGCACAAATTAAAATATGATTTTTTGGTAGGTTTCATAACCGCAGAATTGTAGCAGGATTTAATATCTTTGTAATATTCGTATAATTGCACTATAAATATATAAGGTATTTTAACTTTATCAACAAAAAGTCATACACATTTCAGGGGAATCCCCTTAAAATGTATATTTTGCTTTGAAGTTGTGTTGGTTGTGTGTTCTTTCCTATATAGTCGACGATTTAGTTGCGTACTTATTAAGAAAAATAAAATCCATTTTTGTTATACAGTAGGAGATTAAATATTTATTTATATTTTTTTTTATGCAATAAAAACAGTGCCACTTCCACCAATAACAAATTATTAATATAATAAAATAAAATAATAAATATTTGTGAATCTACTCCACGTTTGACTGTTTGTGTGTGAGTCTACTTTGTAATGTAGAATTGCAAGTATTAAATTGCCGTTCTCTTACAGAATTTCTTGTAAATCATCGTACAAACTACGACGTAAGCGATTAGCAGATTTCAGCAGAACTTGAACGAGTAACTGGCAGAATGTTCAATTTAAATCTGGTCACCCAACAACTGTCTGTCATTGACCATTTTGTCAAATACTAATTTCATCAATCAATTGTAATTCCTGAAACGCCTGTCGCTATTAGCTTTGTAGTTTTAGTTTCAGTTTTTAGCTGCTAAATATCTAAACCAACGTCCTACTAATTATAAAAATAAAACGATCCCAGCAATCGATAGTAAGAGTGCGATGAATAGGTAAGCTTTTCTTTACATTTTCAGGAAAGCGCAAATAAATTTTCTTTACTGTAATTTAATTATAGCGATAATTATAAATAAGACAAACATTTTTATCCTCAAAATAATTTATATTAATTCAAAAAATAGTTATTTTTCGTAAAAACAGATTTTATATTTCATTTTAACTCAGCTTTGTTTGATTTTTTTTCAGCGACAAAAATGTCGTCCTATGAGAAATTAAAACTTCTCGTTTGGAAAAATTTTCTGTTACAAAGAAGACACAAATGGCAAACTATTTTCGAAATAGCTTCTCCTGTGATATTTTCATTATTTTTAATACTAATAAGATGTCTTGTGGACCCAAATTCAAAACCGGATATAACATACAAACCATTTCTCCCAACATATTTCAATATAAGTGGAAAAACGCTGTGAGTACTATTCATTGAAATTAATTAGTATCTGTTGTAAATGGAAATTAAAAAAATATTGGTTAAATTTTAAAGATGTATTTAAAACATCTTGTTTGTAAAATAAGCTTATTTAGGTAAAAGGGAAAAGTATTCGCAAAAACCACATTTACTTGTAAATTCACAGTATAGTTTAGTATTATGAGGTTCTTTAGACTTTAATTAAATTATTGTAAATACATAGATATTGTACTTTTAAGGGGAAACCTTACTACAGCAAAGAGAGAGGGTACTCTGGCATTTTCACCGGAAAACCCACTGACTAGAAAAGTTACTGAAGATGCTATGGCTATGGTTGCTCTTGATAATCTTAATGGTCTACTGGCTCTACTATTTGACACGAAAATGTTACCTCAACCAAAAGGTTTCAACAATTCATACGAACTGGAGCAAGCTCTCACTCAACCGAATGTAATGAATCAAATACTAGTTGGTATTCAATTTGATGATAATATGGCAAGTAAGTGCTTCTTATTAATAATATTTTCATTGTATTTATTATCAGTGACATGTCATATGTAACTGTCTGATATATGAATGAATTGCGGAGTTAAAAGAATGTGTCCATCTAAAAAAATTATAGATGGACTTTGAAAGACGTTTTATTTTCTTTTTTTTTAATCAATTTAGATGCAACAAGTTGGCCAGATGATATTTCAGTGACATTAAGGTTTCCAGCAGTAATGCGTACTCCTATGGTAGAACATCCTCTTAGAGCCAGTTGGAGGACTAATTTATTGTTCCCTCTATTCCCTCGACCTGGGCCAAGAGACCCAGATGATTTATATGGAGGAAAAACTCCAGGTAAATATAAACTATAACTAAGACTTACTTTAACATATTCTTCAACTGCTTCTTCATATTTTTTTTTTTACTTTTCTAAGGTACCAGAATTAAGTTACATCTATTTGTATTTTTTCTTGGCAAGGTTGAATAAAACTATGAAAATTTTTTGTGGTTTAAATAATAGCTGGTTTCTAATTTTATATATCTTCAAGGATATTCACCGGAGATGTTCTTGGCGGTACAACATGCAGTATCACAGGAAATTATAAAACAAAAATCAGGAAAAACGATAGACACAAAAGTTTATCTTCAACGTCTACCTCAGATTGCATATAGAGATGATGACTTACTGATAGCTTTAGAAAGATTCATATCTATGATAATAATGCTGTGCTTTGCGTATACATTTGTCAACACCGTCAGAGTTGTGACTGCGGAGAAGGAGTTACAACTGAAGGTAAGTGTATAATGTAGTCTAGTTGTTGCACATGTATTTGCATGTACTCGTTTTGTATATATATTACAACGTTTTTTTATTTGATTGAATATTACTTCTGGTGACATAAGTGAAATAATGTATCCCTGTCTTTAATTATGATTATTGTTAAAAAATTTAATTGTTGTTAAAGTTATTAGTCACATTTGTAATATTAGTCATGGCTTTTGTTTTTATTTGTGATAACTTTACAATCAATACGTATTATTATGGTGGAAGGAGGAAAATAAGCAATGATGTCATTTAACTACTATTAGCAATAAAAATCTAATAAGATAACAATGCGTAATTAAAACATTATTGTATCATGGGTTTATAGACACTTTTATTGTAATTATTTATATTGTACCTTGTTTAATATAAATAAATAATCGATGACACCTACCTAGGTAGGTGTGTAGTAAAAATTGTGCCTTACCATATTCTAGACCAGTGGTTCCAAAACTTATTTTGTCTACTGCCCACTTTGAGAATAAATATTTTTTTAGCGCCCCCATATTTTTACATGTTTACAAACCACTATAACTTCAAATTAAATTAATTAATTATTGTGACCTATATATGTATATTAACGGAATTCTAAACGAAATTTTACTATAACTCGCAACTTGAGACCTGCAGTGCCCACAAGGGGACGTTATCGCCCACTTTGGGAAAGACTGGTCTACACAATTTTGCCATATACATCCTAAATGATAATCTTACTAATATTTTGAACGTGGATGCTTAGATAGATGGATGGATGTTTGTTTGAAGGTATGTCCAGAACGACTGAACGGATCTCGACGAAATTTGGCATAGATGTAGAACATAGTCTGGAAAAACATATAGCATATAAAACATTATTAAGTTTTCTTTTAATTCCGCACGGACGGAGTCGCGGGCGACAGCTAGCTTAACTGTAAAATTTGAAAGTATCAGAGAGAAGAAGTAGAATGGATTTTGGTTGTCTATTAACGTAATATATCGTAATTAAACTTATCAGCGTTTAACTTTTTGTCTTGCATAATTTGCGTTTCAAACTTATGATAGTTTACGTTGGAGCCATCGTCATTATGAGTGCACAAGGAATGATTAATGGGAAATGTATACGCCTTACTAAACTTCTCAGTAAAAGGAACTTAGAAGTATTAACTGTATTTATCACGATTATAGTATCATAAGATTCAAACTTAATAGTGGCTCGGGCTTATGTGCGCAAAGCGAGCGAAGGTATGCGGGCTCAGAGACATGCTCTGACCTGGCATGTGTCCCGCCGATACGAAAATTCTGTTATGCACAGCGTCTACTTTGAATAAAGTTAGAATAGCGTTATACACAAGTCGACTCCGACTGTTTGTTGGCATGAATGGGCCGATTTGTGCTATCAAAGTTTTTTTCTGCATATTTTATATAGAGTTCTTTGTTTTTTTTGTAATATGTGAGCTCGATGTATTGAATTCTTATATTGAACTGCTTGATTAAATCGGATTCTATTTCAGGAGACTATGACGATAATGGGACTACCATCGTGGTTGCATTGGGTCGCTTGGTTCATTAAACAATTCTCATTCCTTTTTATATCAGTTATTCTTATGGTTATACTATTTAAGGTGAGATATTGGAATATATTTGTCTTTTTTTATGTGTAATTTTTTTTAATTTTAAGTTTTTTTTGTAGACTCCATTCAACTCGACGGCAACAGGAGATAAATATTCCGTATTGACATTTACGCCATGGACCGTGTTATTATTTTTTATGGTGTTATTTGTGATGGCGTCATTAGCTTTTTGCTTTATGGTCAGCGTTTTCTTCTCTAGAGGTATGTTGTATATTTGAATAGCTTACGAAATATTTGCTTATGAATCACTTAAATGTTTAAATTTTTTGATATCTCGCAATAAACAAATCAATGGGTCAGAGACGAAAGAAATAAATATTTTTTTGTTTGATATTTTTATATGTTTGAATCTTTGTACTCTAGTTGAATAAGATAAGTATAAAATTTTATTTTCATTTGTTAACACTGTTATAGGAAACGAGTACCATTTAATGATAAACCGATGATGTACTTATATTAATTATGTACTGATTCATTAAAACATCTTATTTGTATTGTAATAAGAGTTATTTTGGTGTACATACACGCTTGAACGACAACGTTCCTACATAACTATAGTAAAATCATGTCAATTGATGTCAACTGCCGTAATACAAAGTTTAGTTCATCATGTATGACACAATTGTTTATTGCAGCAAATACAGCCGCCTCTTTCATGGGACTTGCGTGGTTTTCAACGTACTCTGTATTTATGCTGACTCAAGTTTTATATGAGGACATTAGTCTGTCCACTAAGTTGTTGCTAAGTCTTATATCAAATACAGCGATGGGATATGCATTTCAAATGATCGTGATATGCGAGGGAACATCTAAAGGTAAGTTATTAACTGTCGCACACAGAGACGTTAATTGAAGATTTAATATGGAATTGAGGTCCTTCAACTCTTAATAACATCGAATCTTAAACATGGGTCTAAAGTTCAATGCCGTGCATTTAGAGAGAGACGAAAAATGTACTTGTTTGTATATTTTAATTTGGCAACCTTTTTAAGCAATAAAAAGCCAAAATATGTGAAGATCATTCGTGTTTCTTTGCGAATATGTTTGTACAATGATAAACACGTTTTGTTAGCGTAACGAAATACGTACAGTTTTTTACAACCGTATCATCTCGTTCGTCATTCAGGATTTTGATATCGTAGTATAATTTTTAATTCTGTACAAAGTCCGAATCTATGTACAATGTACAAAATTCGAATATTATTATATACTTTGTTAATACAACAACGTAAAATGATAATCGTTTCCAAAAAGTTTCCATTACAAATGCGTCCAATTTATGGAATTACTATAATTCCTGAACTGAGCAGTACGATTATAATGTCGTTAAAAATTTTATAATTAACAATTTTAATGTCAAAATTTAACAACAAAGAGAGATGGCTCTCTAAGGCTAAGGTATTATCGATCCAGCGACCTTATGTTAGTCTAAAACGTGCACTAAACAATCACCTTTACATGTTACTTAACTAGCCTTGAATATGATTACAAGGAGAAAAAAAACAATTGCTCACTTCCATAAATGGCAAAGATAATATTGTCGAGGTGAACAAATAGCTATCAATCCACCTTGTACGAGTATCATCCGATCACGAGGTTGGGGGTTCGAATTCCGCCATTCGACTATTTTCGTAAACCATGTCCTAGCACAAGCTTAGAAATTAGTTGGAATGGTTCAAGAAATATTAATAAACTAGCTATCGCCCGCGACTCCGCCCGCGCCGAATTAATAAAAAAGGGTTGGTTGCAGCGTTATATAGCCTAATGCCTTCCTCTTTAAATGGACTATCCAACAAAAAAAAATTTTTCAAATCGGACCAGTAGTTCTTGAGATTAGCGCGTTTAGAAAAAAACAAACTCTTCCGCTTTATAATATTTGTATAGATTAACAAAAATCTGCTAATATTAAAAAAATCTTATTTTAAATTAAATTGTTTAAATATTAGCAATTAAAGAACGTTTATAAATATCATCAGGTAGGTGAACGTTGAACTGATTGCAGAGATGCAAGGTTAAGAAACGCAGCAAACCAGTTTTTGATCTGTAACTAATTAAATCTCTTTTTTATTTAAACTGGTAGCGATTTGAGCGCATCTTTTATATAAAAAACTAAATGACGCAAAGACTATAGTCGAATTTAATAGAAATGAGATATTATAGCTAATTGGCGCAAAGACTCTGTCCGCGCGGAATTAAAAATAACAATTTAGCCTATGTGTTTTTCCAGACTATGTCTTACATCTGTGCCAAATTTAATCGAGATTCATTGTGCCTTTATGGAAATACCTTCTAACATCCTTCCGTCCATCCATTTAAACATTCGCATTTATAATATCATCATCATCAACTCACTATACGTGCCCACCGAGAGGCTCGGAGCCTACCCTAAGTTAAGGGTGATTAGGCTATAGTCAACCACGCTGGCCAAGTGCTGGTTGGTTGACTTCACACACATCTTTGAATTTCTTCTCAGATATATGCAGGTTGCATCACGATGTTTTCCTTCACCGTAAGAACGTCGGACAATTATATTTATATATTATACGCTCAATTATATTTAATATAATTAATTAGATTTATAATATATCATTTATTATTTTCCTTTATAAGGCTGTAATAATAAATTTATTAAAAAAATGTCAAAATAAATCCATAGACAATAAATGATATTTTCATCCAGTGAAATGTGTGTTGAATTAGACCATAAATATTTTTACTTTTTACAGGTTTACAATGGAATGAATTTTTTACGTCCATATCTTACCATGATCAGTTCCAACCGGGTCATGTTGTCCTCATGTTAATTCTAGATACAATATTATACATGTTGATTGCAATGTACGTGGAAAAAATAAGGCCCGGTTTATACGGTGTACCTTTACCATGGTATTTCCCGTTAACTAAAAGCTTTTGGTTTCCCAATAAAAAGAAAAGTGCAAGTAAGTATTTACTTTGTTAAGGAATGCGTCATTAATAACTTCGTATTCAATGTAAGAGGTGTGAAACTTAACATGACGTATGTAAATGTTAATACTAACGAACAATATGAACCTTGGAATTGAATATTTAATTATAAAACCTGTAAGGAAGTATTGATTATTTTTCTATGACCTTCTTACATTTATAAAACTGTAATAGCTTTAAGTCTTTTAAAAGTCCGTTTCGTGAATTTATTTTTGGTCAAACAGCTGTTCCTTGTAACATCTTGATCTAAAGAGTTTGACCTGTTTTAGTACGAGATGTCATTCCATTCTTATTAATTTGTATTGTAAATTGACAAACTTCGAAGCGGTCACACAAATTCGCTAAAATAGCGAAATTGCCCATAGACACCCTTTCTGTGAGTCAATCGGTCAAATCGTTGTCATTTCCTTATAAGATAAGGATGGGAAGGGAACGTGTACTATGGCCTGTTCTGGGTAATCCCCGGAATGTTATAAAGGCACGTTTAGATGGGTATATTGTTTTTTATTATTTTTAGAGATAACAATGAGCGATGGAGTGGATAAAGATTATAATGATGCGCTATTGCAAGTTGTTCATGATGAAGAGCCGAAAGGTGTACCGATGGGAATCTGTATAGAGGTAAGTTATATTTAGTCGATAAGATATATTGTCAAATGTATAGTCATCTCTGTCATTCTCTTTGAAAAAACTGAGATAGCGATATGTTTTAGTATATTTTTTTTCTATATCTAGAGACTCGCGGTAACGTACAAACCATATTTAGCTATTGTATCTTAACAATTTATTTAATTCTTGACCTCTCATATGAATGATAACCGCTGTAAATTTTTAGTACAATCTATAGAGTTGTGTGTTTAAATCTAGGCCAAGTTCTTAAACTTGGTCTGGTTTTTGATTTACATTAATATGAATATAAAATCCGTAAATTGATTTTGTTATTGCGCGGAGTATACAAGATCGAATTTTATCGTTAAACTAATGTTCTTTTGAACGCGTTTTCGCCAGTGCGAAATCAAAAAAAAATATGTTACTTTCGCATAAATAAGCTACTTTCCAATAAAAGTCCTGTTAAAATCGGTTTATCCGTTCCGGAGAATACCCGAAACTAACCCGGTTTTTCAGACGAACAGATAAAAATTATAAAATTTGGATATATGTTTTTTTTTTCGATATTCCATGTAATCATTCCAATTTTATTATAACGTATAGAACAGAACCTAAGAGAAACAGAACAGATAATGTTTAGTTGAAAATCATTCGTGTTTTTTTTACAGAATCTCACAAAAATATATAAAGGTCGTAAAAAGGCTGTTGATAATTTGAATCTCAGAATGTATGAAAATGAAATAACAGTATTATTGGGTCACAACGGCGCTGGAAAAACTACCACAATATCAATGCTTACAGGTATATTGTTTGTTATAATCCTATTTATATCAACTTTTTATAAATATGTCATCATCATCATCAGCTCACTGTACGTCCCCATCGAGGGACTCGGAGCTTACCCCAAGTTAAGGGTGATTAAGCCATAGTCAACCACGCTGGCCAAGTGCGGGTTGGTTGACTTCACACATATCTTTGAATTTCTTCTCAGATATGTGCAGGTTGCATCACGATTTCCTTCACCGTACGTCGGATAAATGTACATATGTAAATCGGAAAATCGAAAATCACATTTTTACATGAAAGGATTCGAACCCAGGATCTGCAGATTGCAAGTCAAGTGCTTGACCACTGAGCCACCGACGCTATAAATATGTGCGTTCGTTAATTCCAATTCAAAACCAAAGTTAGTTTCTTGCTTACCTAATTTCGATTGAACTATTATCTATGTAAATTCCAAATTTAACATATAATACCGATATGTTATTGGATTTACATATGTAAAATACGTTTATACGACGTTCTTACGGTAAAGAAACATCAAATCAAAGATATATGTGAAGTTAACCACACCGCACTGGGTCAATTCTTACTTAGGGTAGGTTCTGAGCCCCTCAGTGAGGATGTAATATAGTAAGCTGATGATGATTCATTAATTAAATATGTTATATCAGGTATGGTACCACCCACATCAGGGTCGGCATCAATAAACGGGTACAACATAGTAACAGAGACAGAATTAGCTCGTAAGTCCCTCGGCATCTGTCCGCAGCATAACGTCCTATTCCCCGACCTCACTGTCGCCGAGCATATTATATTCTATTCCCGATTAAAAGGAGTACCAAGTAATAAACTACAAGAGGAAGTCAACCATTTCGTTAAATTATTGGAATTAGAAGAAAAGGTAGGCTTAATTATATAATGCATCTAAAACAAAAACCACCAGGGAACCTAAGAATAACCTAACGCAATAATCGATTGTTAAGATCGACTTGAAGTTTATTTTAATTATGTAATTTAAATGCTAAATAAATCGATGGCCAGCTTAAGAAAATATCGTGTTTTTTTGATAGCTTTTGCTTACTTGGTTAATTGATATAGAAAATAGTTTTTAATTTTGATAATGATGATGCAGAGAGATGTGGTATCAAACCACCTATCGGGGGGTCAGAAGCGGCGGCTGTCTGTGGGCGCGGCGATGTGCGGCTCCTCGCGAGTCGTTCTACTGGACGAGCCCACCTCGGGACTAGACCCCGCAGCTAGGCGATCGCTCTGGGATCTACTGCAAAAGGAAAAGAAAGGTACATCACTAATTCACTTCGCTATTTCAGCGATTTCAGGTGGCCGCTCGCTCGTTTGCCACCTTATAATATGAAAAAAAAAATTAAGCTATCTATAAGGGTTTTTAAAAATGTCATTGAATACGTACATAATTGTTATTTGCTAATCTAAATTTTATTAATATTTAATACGAATGTATAATCTTAAATTTTGTCTATTTTTTTTTGTTATAAGCACATTTTTAGTAAGTAATAATTTAGATATGTTCCCTATTGTCTAATTTACCCCATTTCGACACGAGATAATGCCTACACCATAAAATTTAATAGCGATTGCTACAGATAGTTATTTATTGCTCTTTATAATTTAACTGTCACCCGTAATTACAAAAAAAGAAATAAAAAAATAGGTAGCCTGTGTGTTCTTCCCGACTATGTGCTACATCTAAGCCAAATTTCCTCGATGTCCATGTAGCCGTACTGCAGATATCTATCATGTATTCATCAATCCATACATCCAAATAGTGACATTTGTAATACTAATAAGATACCCATACTTCTGTACCAGGGCGTACAATGATATTAACAACCCACTTTATGGACGAGGCGGATGTCCTCGGCGACCGCATCGCCATCATGTCTGGAGGCAAACTGCAGTGCATCGGCACTCCCTACTTCCTCAAGAAGCACTACGGCATCGGATACAAACTCACTATTGTCAAAAAAGACGAATGTAACGTACAAAATGTTACAGCTTTCTTCAAAAAACACGTGCCTGATATTAGAGAGAATACTAATATAGGTTTGTACATTTTTAAATTAAAAAAAACTTTCACTGAATAAATGTCTGTTAACTTTTTAATTTTTAATTTTTTTAGGGTCGGAACTAACCTATATATTGCCAAATGATCATGTCAGCAAGTTTCCTGATATGTTGAAAGAGTTTGAACAAAAGAGAGAGGAAATGCATGTATCCAGTTATGGTCTTTCGGTTACCAGTCTTGAAGAAGTTTTTATGAAGTAAGTCCTTTGCCTTGTTATTAAAAAGAATACACATAAATTCAGTAAAATAGTTCATTGCAAAGAAATATTTTCTTTGACTAAAAACTGCTTACTTTAATTTAAGGGCCGGTGTAGAGGATAATACAGAAGTATCTTCGGCTAAAAAAAATAGTTTCGTAACCAGAAATGACGCTGCTATAGTACCACTTGAAAATCATCAAAATAATATAGGTAAGGTTACGAAAAAAAACGACAATTTAATTTAAAGTCACCGTCGCGAGTGCACAGTCGCCCGCGACTCTGCACTCGCGAAATAAAAAAAAAACTTAATAAGTAATCTATGTATTCTTCCAAACTATGTTCTATATGTATACCAAATTTCAGCGAGATCCATGCAGCCGTTCTAGAGATATCTTCTAACAAATAACCATCTAAATAAATACACACTAAAGACGTATAATAAACGTTTAATTTGCAATAACAAATATTGAAGTCAATAATTGAGATAAAAACTACCCTATGTCCCAAGTTGAACCAAATTACAGATCCTTACAAAATTTGATAAGAATCGGTTCGTCCAGTGGCGGCACCGACTAGTTTCGGGGCCGTTTGAATAATTTAAGAATCGGTTCAGTAGTTTCCAAGTTTATCACGAACATACATATTGACACGAAATTTTTATACATATAAGCAATGCAAAAATTTACTCTAATGCATTAATTATAATTAAAGTTAAATTTATTACAGTGACAAATGAGCCAATACAAAAAGTGCGAGGATATAAATTACTTAAGAATCATATAAAAGCAATGTTTCTGAAGCTCATTTATAATACGATGAGGAACAAATTGGCAGCTCTAATACAATTTATAACACCGATTATAAATATCACATTATCAGTGATTATAGCACGATCATGGAAGTTTATCTCACAGTTACCAGCTTTAGATTTAAGTTTGAAAAGTGGCTTCAGAGCGACAGAGACATTAATGTCGCAAGATGTCAATGTAACGGGGAATAGTTTGGAACACAAAGCGATGCTCGCATATAAAGATTACTTCAAAACATCAGATTATCCTGGCATGACGCTCAATGATCTAGGAACTATGAATCTTGGCAAATTTTATATGAAACTGGTATGTTTTATAATATTTGTTACAGTTAACGTTTAATTTTAATTTAAAAATACAAGTATATTAAAAATATTGTAGTCTCTGTTTTTTTTCAAAATGAAAGACAGAGATGACAAGAGGTCTATAAAAGTTTTCCGATAGTGGAAATACACAATAGTATGTGTATTTAGAACAGTCATAATTGCTTATCAGTCAGTCAGTCATAATTATGCCAGTACAGTAGGACAGTGGTACTCAACAGCACTAAGTGGCGCTAGTGAGCCAAAACAGTCTATACAAGGCCAGCGTTACTGTCTCTGTGGTTATCAAATGATGTTACAAATACAAATTGTTTACAAAGTACTAGGACATTAAAAACTTCTTTACATTATACGTTTTTCTTATTTTAAAGTGTGAAGCAGACTTATCACGTGTGCGGTACGAGAACCTGATTGGTGCGACGTTCGCTCCGCACCGCATCACTGGCTGGTTCAGTAACTACGGGTACCACGACTCTGCTATCTCGCTCGCACTCGTCAACAACGCGATGCTTGCCGCTCTCTCTCCCGGCAGCACGCTCAGGATTATAAACCATCCATTACCTTATTCTATTGAAAATTTGGTAAGTTAATTAGTTAATATATTTGCTGATATTTTTACCCGAGTAACAAAGTTTGAATGTATGAGGGTTTTTATGTGAATTCCATTGTTACGGTCTAGATCCTAAACGAATGAACCGATTTTGATTACTGAGGTGTTATTAGTTTCGTATTCGTCCCCGGAGTATCATAAAGTATTAATATCGGCACAAACATTTTATAGTGGACTTAAGAATTGAAATTATAAAAAAAATTGTATAAAGGACGAGTTCAAATATCACTTGCCATACATTTTTTTTCGAGTGTATTCTAAAATAGAAAATGTTGTATATAACATTACAGTTTATTTAGTTTAAATTATTTTTTTAAATCTTTGTTTTAAAACGCTGACAATAGATGGTGCTATTTCGTTTATTGCAGCATCGGTCAGTCGAGTTTTAGATTTTTTGTTAATTAAGGTTAGGTTAGGTTTTGTCTTGATCCCGGAATTTTTTCCCAATTATTCTTTTGTTTAAGACAATTTATAATTAAAAATCATTAATTCTAACTAAGAAGTATTATGTGTGAATTTACAGGTGAGAGTGATGGCTACGGGTAGCAGTATGGGATTTCAGTTTGCGTTTAATATCGGATTTTGTATGGCTTTCGTGACATCCTTTCTTGTCCTGTTTGTGGTCAAGGTAAGAATTTTATTAGTATTCCTTAAAATTTTATATTGTAAATTCTACCAATACTAATAATATTACGATTTTTATTAAAAAATCATCAGTTCTTTTATACACTAGACAATGTAAATCGTCGAATCGTAGGTTGAGTTGCTAGAATCATCTATTCGGTCAATAAGGCATGTCAACTATGATGTCTTGAAAATTACAGCAACTCTTCTCGCTATGACCTTGAAAAACTGGTTACTAGCGACTGTCTTTGTCGATGACAGGTAGAAATGTCGACGACGCGCGTTGTGTACAAAACTCTATGAAAATGTATTGCATAAGTCGCTTAGCGACTAAAATCGAGTTTTAAAGATTTTCATTGACTTATGTATGAAACCTTACTTGTAACTAGAATTATTGCCAGTAAATCTTAATATTTAGTTTAATTTGATAAATGATCGTTACAAATGTACTAGGAGCGCATAAGCGGTGCGAAGTTACTGCAGCGTGTGTCTGGTGTCCGGCCAGCTGTGATGTGGGGCGCGGCCTTCGTGTGGGATTGGGTGTGGCTCTTCCTAGTATATCTATGTATTGTACTCACATTAGCCTGCTTCCAAGAGAATACGCTTTCAACTCCAGAAGAACTCGGTAAAAACAACTTGTCTTATTGAGACTTCATTTTTGAGAGTTAAAATGATAGTTTTATCATGATTGTATTTTTCCAGGTCGAGTTCTTTTAGTATTAATGGTGTTCTCAGTGGCGACTATACCTTTGCACTATTTAGCGTCGTTTTACTTCGAGGCAGCTGCAACTGGCTTTTCTAAAATGTGTTTTATGAACATATTCTGTGGTAAATGTTATTATAATTATTTCAGTTATTTTAATTCTTGTATTTTGTCATATTTACAGTTTATTACGTTTCAGGTTGCATGCCTTTTCTTATAACTGAAGTATTAAGGTTGCCAGAAGTAGGCAGCCCCTACTATGCTCATATCTTCGATTGGATATTCTCACCGTTGCCAATTTACTGCATAAGTCGGAGTTTCAGGTATTTTTATAACAATTATTTATTTAACTTACAAGTTATTTCACGGTGGTAAAAGGCATTTAAAGCGATATTAATATCACAGATAAAACTTGTTTGACAAAGTATGGAAAAGCTTTTTATTAAAACCTTAAAATAAATTGTATTAAGTAATTTTAAAAACATAAAATATGACAGATAGTTGTTTCACAAGGCATTTTAGCACTCGCATTTAATATTGTCATATGAAAATTTTCATTTTTACTACGCGGACAGACATGCAGACAGAGACAAAAATATTAAAAGTATGTTTATCATTGTCAGCCACGCAAATATATCAAGAATTTGAAATATGATTTTTTTTTTCTCAATTTTACATACAGAAACTCCAATTTTTATTAATATGTATATATTGTTATTTATGTTGTGTAGAGATATGAGCGTGTCGTCGTTTTCAATGCTGGCGTGCGACGGTCTGTGCGAGCAGTTCGTCAACATCGACAACTGCACGCGACACACCATCTGCCAACATCTCAACATCTCGGTTTGTTGTAGTAAGTGAGTCTGCACATACCACTTCACTATCTTACTTCCTTATTTCACATCACTTGAAAATCTTTCATTAACACTTCAATGACGGTTGTTCTCTGAGACTGTAATCTCTGTATAAAACTTATCGTCATCTCAGTCATTATCTTTGACAAAACAGAGATAGCAATATTTGGACGGAAATGTTGGTCTCAGAAACCCACAGTGATTCAAGGATTCTGATCAAAATAAATCATTTAACTAGAAACCTTTAGAAAAAATAATTTGTTTTATCTTCGTAAAGTTTATTTTTATTTTTTGGGTACTAATCAGTATTATTTGCCTATGAAAGATACAGTTTGTCTTATTATTAAAGCATTTTATTTAATTCGACTCTTATTTTAGTTGAAGACGACCCGTTCCTCAAGTGGAGTGAGCCTGGCATCGGACGATATTTGTTCATGATGGCGCTAGTCGGAATTATAGCTTTCATTATCTTACTTCTAAAGGAATATGAACTTATAAACAAGGTAAGTGATAGTTTACTAGCTTTCGCCCGCGACTCCATCCACGCGAAATTAAAAAAAGAAATTAGTTTATATGTCTTGGCAGATGTTCTACCTCTATCTCAAATTTGTTAAGCCGATCTGCAGATACTTTCTATTGAACATCCATCCATAGTATCATTAGTACGATTGTTAAACATCCAAAATCTACTCTCATTTTACGCCTCGCGGAGAAAGTTATTAAGCAAGCTTGGCATTCAAGTCGAAATGACCTAATAGACCAATCCAATACTAGTCCAATCCAGTTGAACAGTCCAGTAAAGTAGGCACTACAAGCTTAATCGCTTTTACTGTTAAGTCCTTGTCTCATGATTATTTTCTTTTCCTTTTCTGAATGTATACTATGACAAGGTTCTATGATAAAACTGATGTTATTGCGTATATTTATTTGAACTTCTCTTTCATAACAATATTTCTATAAGGTATTCTACAAGGAGAGTCCTCACCGGCCTCCAGCGGTGGACCCTAAAGAGGACTCCGATGTGGCGGAGGAGCGTTCTCTGGTACAGAAAATGACTCGCCCGGAGATAGCACAGCACAGTCTCGTCTGTAGGGATCTGACCAAGTTCTATAAAGATTTCCTCGCTGTCAATCGATTGTCCTTTGGTAAGTAAGCCTATCTAGACAAAGTTCATTCGTTCCAAAGCGATTCCATAACGAAGATCGTTAGATAATATACGTTTCCTTTTGAAAAGAAAAATTGAGTAGAGTATTTCGCCATCTTAAACATTTTATACACAAATAAAAATTATTTTATGACTTGTTTATCGTTCTTTGGGTGAAATTAACGTGACTCCTGACGTAATGTCAAGTGACGTCATAACTAAGGTCATTTGACCTGAAAATGAGTCAGAAGACATATGTATTTTGTGTAGCGGTACACAAGGGCGAATGTTTCGGTCTACTGGGTGTGAACGGTGCGGGCAAGACGAGTACGTTCCGCATGCTGACTGGTGACGCGCGGATCTCCTGCGGCGACGCATTCGTGCACGGACTCTCCCTCAAGACTCATCTACAGGATGTCTACAGACATATCGGTATCGCAATTTTATTCTGTTTTTTAGAGTAAATGTTTTTTTTTCGCGTGACACATTGAATAATATAAATTTTTTTGTGCAAATTATCATTATTAAAATTTAAAGAATTAAAATTAAAGATAAATCATGATTATGCGTAGGCTTTCGAATTGCGATCTTGACAAATAAAAATAAATAACAATATTACTTATATCGGAAGCACTTTTTGTGATACATATTTAAGAGTAAAACACACTCATTGGTAACCACGCTGACGTCCATATCAATCATTGGCAGTCAAAGAGTTAAAACACGTATTTAACAAAACATTGTGTAACTGTGTTTTTTGGAGTAATAGAGTAAGAATTTTTGAATTCAAAATTGTTTTACTAATATTATCAAATTGGTGATAGCACACTTGTATATTTGAATGATAGAAAAATATTAGGTTACTGTCCTCAATTCGACGCCCTGCTGGAGAACCTGACGGCGCGGGAGACGCTGCGCATCTTCTGCTTGTTGCGCGGTATCCCCGTCAGAGTGGGCTCAGCGCGCGCCCTGCATCTCGCCAACCTGCTCGGCTTCACCACACATTATGATAAAATGGTTCGTATTTTTATAATACTATTAGAAAGAAAATCCGACACTGTGCCGGTGTACTGGCGCAACACTAGCCTTATTAAATTGTCAACGTTTATGTCCCCTCACTAATCAATCTGACATTTGACTTAGTAACAAAAGCGCGCCATTCGCGCCAAATGTTTCTAACTAATAGTCTAAAAATACCTATCTTACTTCTTACTAATGTTATAAATGCGAAAGTTTAGATGTATGGATGGATGGATGTTAGAAGATGTCTCTTCAAGGACTCAACGGATCTTTATGAAATTTGGTTCAGATGTAGAACTTAGTCTGGTAGAACACTTACTACTTATTTTTTTATATTTCCGCGCGGACGGTGCGTAAAAACTATGAACTGATTAATGTAAAAAAAAAATGTTTTTGTTTTACGATTAGGTACACGAGTGCAGTGGTGGCACCAAAAGGAAAATCAGCACCGCCTTAGCTCTACTGGGTGATTCGCCGCTTGTGTTCCTTGATGAACCTACTACAGGTAAGCGAAAATATTTGAATGGACATCGCAGGTGAGTAAATATTGCCAGAAATTTTCAGAATAATTCATTTTAAAGAGTACTAATGTCTATTAAAATAAACTGGAACTGGAAATATGATGGAGGGAGATATACCTATTCAGATTATCTTCTCCTTAGGTCACCGCGGGGGCCCTGCAATTTTATTATCCTTATAGAGTGCAGCGGTAATTTAGGTGCTTTGTATACAAAGAAACGTAAATGTTCGATATCCGGCGATTGTAGTCGCTAAGCGAATTACGTAATGTCGATGATTAGACGACTTGTCTCGACAATTTAAAGTTATGTATGATTGCCTGCTGCTGCTGTCTGCTTACTTCTATCAAAGTTTTTTTTTTAATTTGAAATGTATCGTTTAGGCATGGACCCGGCGTCGAAACGTCTGGTGTGGCGTTGTGTGAGCGCGGCGGCGCGCGGCGGACGCAGCGTGGTGCTCACCTCGCACAGCATGGAGGAGTGCGAGGCGCTCTGCTCCAGACTCACAGTCATGGTCAACGGACGTCTCTACTGCCTCGGACCACTGCAGCATCTCAAGACTAAGTTCTCACAAGGTAATGTTAGGAAGAAAATCCGACACTGTGTCGGTGTACTGGCACAACACTAGCCTTATTAAAATGTCGACGTTTATGTCCCCTCACTATTCATTCTGTCACTGGACTTTATAACGAAAGCATGTCATTTGCGCCAAAAGATTCTAAATAATAATCTCTAAAAGTACCGACGATCAAACATACACTGAAACACTGATCTCTATATATGGATAGACTATTGCTTGGAAATGACAACTTTCACGTGGTTCTGACTTAAACGCGCATGTTGAAGATCCTGACAATTCTATGTGTATTATTAGTTTGAATCCCCTCCATCCCTAACAATCGCAACCTTCAGCGCCAAAATGACTATTATCAAAAAGGCACAAAATACCACGGTTTATAGCCTGTCCATGTAATAGAGGTCAGTGGCTCACATTCACATATGATCAAAGATATAGACCCAAGAAATGAGTCAAAACGATGGTTTTGACTCATAAATGATGATTTGATATCGAAATTCAGTGGTTAAAAAAGTTCACGTTCCAGAATACCATACATATTACTCTTATTTGAATCTGAATTGTTAGTTGTTTTTTTAAATGCAAAAAGCTATTGTTCTCTTAAAAATCGTATTTGTATAATACTTTATTGTGAAAAAGATTAAGTTTTAAAGTGGGTTTTTGGAACGTCTTACAGGTTACACGTTAATAGTGAAGAGTAAATCTGGACCGGACAGAGACAGCAATGTGTCTCGTATAAATCAATATATAGCAGACAACTTCAATGAAGCTAAGCTAATGTAAGTAAAAGATTTTTTTTTAATGTATAAGGCATGAAATTTACGCTTCATTAAACATAATTTTGATGTATATTTCCAGTGAAACTTACTTAGGAATAAGTACTTACTATTTAAAAGATGAAGATCTACCATGGTGGAAGATTTTCCACATCATGGAGAATGCACGTCAGGATCTGCCAATAGAGGACTACTCTGTATCTCAGACTACGCTCGAACAAGTATTCCTCGGCTTCACAAGGATGCAAGGTAATACAGCGTGATGTTAATTATAGCAACTCTTCAATGAAATGTACAGCGTGTTTTTTTTTGTACTTTATTTTTATTTAAGAAATATTAAAAAGTTTTCGACTAAATATTTATATACATTGATATGCCTTTGTAGACATGAATAATACAAGTCATGTAATTAAAAATATCGAAAGACAAGGGAGTAAAGTAAAATATCTAATTAATAATGAAAATAAAGGCATATCTATGTTTTTAAATATTAGGTTTTTATATCGAAACTTTTTACATTTCTTTTTTGCCATTGCCATTTACAATTTTTAATTTTTACCAGTGACTGAATTACTTCATAATGATTAATAAATCAATCTGTAACCTCGTTTAGATGAATCTCTACAATAATAGATAAATTTATTAGAAATAATAAACTTGCGTGCGCAGTAACATGATGGCATGCAATGCGTAGTTCTGTCTCATTCTCTACGTAAAGTTGTATCTTGCTTCTCGCTCTTGTAACGAAATTTGACGTAACATGATTGGATAAGAACGAAGTCATGTTATTGTGTGCGCATTATAAATGTATTTATTTGGAAAGTTTTCTAGTATATAAAGATTTGGAAATATCGATGTATCTTATTTTATATTGGTGTTTAATGTTTAGACGTGTATTTGAAACAATGTATATCTATTAGTGTTGTAATCGTGTTTTACTGTAACTAACGAAATTATTTTAGACAAATATAAATCAAATAACATGAAATAGATGTGGAATAGTGAATCTTTAAAATATAGCTTGGTATTGGAAGTCAGATCCGTATTACTAAGCAATATTTGCTATGCTCATAATAAATTATTATCATATAATAATAAGCCATTACTTTGAATAAACTTATAAAACACCCTGTAGCTATGTGTTAGCGATTGGTTAAAGCTTTAGATTTTTTTTAATGCTATAAAAGTATTTTTTTTGTTTAATATTTTAATTATCCTATATGACTGAATCAGGAAAATAATTATGAAAATGTGTCTTTGCATAAAATGTATTATTCAATATTACAAAAAATTTTGAAGCATTTTCTTTATTATAGCCTTATTTTGCAAAATTTTCCGTCTCAAGTCTGAACTATACATATAGAAAATTGAGTTCTAACCTACAACTTTTATAAATTTTTTTTATTTAAAAAATATCCAGCTATGTTTTATAGATTATTTTTACGTCAAATCAGATATTTCAGCTTTCCAAGACTGAAAGTACAATTTGACTATTAAGTTTTCTTTACACTTTTACAATTGTATGCATCGGAAAATCTCGAACGCCTTTCTTACATGAGGCAACGTAAATCTTGGAAACCCACAATTTTTGTCGCTAAACGACTTACTCAATGGACGTTCGGATACAGGCACGCGTCTCCGACATTTTGTTTAATCGAAAAAACTTGTCGCTTGTAACCTATTTGTCAAAATCGTCGCGAAAAAACGTTGTAAATTTGAAAAAGTCGGAGCAAATGTGTATAGTTGGAATGCAGTCACTACTGCCTTTACTGATCGAATAGACTCGCGTCGACGATTCAACATAGTGTCTACGGAGCGCGCGCAACGCGATACTCGCGACTGCAAGGATACTATTTTAGTATCGAAGATTTACGTTGCCTTTTGTATGAAGAGGCTAACTCAATTTTAGTACATGTCTAGAAATGATAGTTATACTTAAAGATTTTGTATTACAAGGTACTTATTTTAATTGCAAATTATATTATGGTGCTTTAAGATTGTGTGTAGTGTAAGTAGATTAATTGTTCGGATTTATACTAATGTAATAATAGCTTATTTAAATTCAAACTTTCGTGAGACATTATAATAAACTTATATAAAAACGGCTAAACACTGACGTACCGTGGCGGCACCGAATAGTTTCGAGCCCATCGGGGGCCCTTCATCAGGGTGGGTGGGACTGGTATTATTTCGCGGACGCGGCCCGTCGCTCATTGCGCGCCTGGGCTTTTAGGGCGGGGGCGGGGGGTGCGCCGGCGTCAGCGACGATGTTGATACCAAAGCGGAGGTGGTGTTGCTGTTCAAGTTTCTTGAACGTCCGCGAAATAATACCAGTTCCACTCGCTCTGATGAAGGATCGCCTATGGGCTAGAAACTAGTCGGTGACGCCACCGGACGAATATACGTGTGTGCTTAGCCGTTTTTGTATAAATAGCTTATTTACCCAAATATTTGCGTAAAACTTTCTTTAAGAAAAATTACGAATGCATCTGATTTTTTTTCGAATACATCATTGAATGTCCGGAGTTTTTTTCTGGCAGTATTCAAACAAAATCGTACTAAAGAAGTATTAGTTAAAAACATTTTTAGCGAACTTTATAGTTTTAAGTACTAATTGGCTTTCTCTTTGATTTGGACTTCTGTTGATACGATCCGGACCAAATCGATTTTTTTAACTATGTATTATAGCGCTGTGATACATATACTTATATCTGAAGTTAGACAAATTTATTTATTATTAATAAAATTTTACATTATTATTATTTATTATTCAAAAACTCAAGATAAATAAATGTGTGTTTTTGGCTTTATTATAAGTACAATTATGATTATAAAGTAAAAAAAAACATGAATATGGTAACCTGTTTTCTGTCCTAAAGAAATTTTATATTTATTAGGCAAAGAGATAAAGTTCCCGTTTATTTAACTCAATAGAGATAAGATAAAAAGCCATACAAATAGTATTTATTATGGTAATGGAAATTATAAGTGAAAAAAAATTATTGTGACATTTTTTCGTCATATCTACGATTGTTGCAGTTTATATCAGTATTATTAAAACTATTCAATAAATTGTATTTAATTTGTAAAAAAAAATTGTTGATAAAAAAATTGATAAGCAAAAAATAATATCTGAAAAGGGTTAAAAAATGTGGGAACTTTTTAAAAAGTAATTCACCAAAGTCTCATTTTAATTCTATTTTTGTCCAAAATATAAAAAAAATAAAAATATTGAATGTGTTAGATAATTTAGTGCTAATGAAACCATATTCATGCATAAAAATAAATGTTACTCATTAATTTAAAATAATAATGAATAATTCGAAGTATAATTTGTGGCGGCTGTAAATCAATATGATTGTGTAATTTTGTGATATGATTTGTGATGTGTTTGCAAGCAACAAGAATTTATTGCCTATATTTATTAATTTAAGGTAATTGTCACTATAATGAATGACGTTCCTAATTTTGCCAGTTTTTGTCACAATGTCGCCAGTTTTTAATAGAATTCATACTTAAAGTTAAAAAAAATATTTTTTAATCTTTCACCTGATCGCATAAGGTTCTGTTCAGAACGGGGTAAGACCAGAGCGGATATAATCACAAATAAAATTGACCCTTATGCAGTTGAAATAAGGTTTAATTTTACTTTGAATAAGCGTAAAAGAGACGTGTATAGTAAAATTAAAGCTTGTTACAATTGCGTAAAGTTCAATTTTATTTGCGATAAAAATTTGTTCTGCTCTTCGCCTTTCGGTCTGTGTGAATGGGTCCTTATTTAGATAAATTTTGATTATTTAATTTGATGATGGCTTTATATGTGATACCTTTATGCAGGACATACTTATTTTGCTTAACTATATTTAATAAGAAAAACCTTCGTATGTATGTATCGATGTAGGTTTACATGATTTATAATAAAACTAATGTACTTAACAAATATGTTTTATTTTTTACATTAACGCTTCGATAAAAATATTGTAGGTTTTCACGATATAACGGGTGACGTTTACCATCTTTGTAATAACATAATTTAGGCGGTAAAATACAAGGGCAAAGTACTATTAGTAAAATATGATAAATTTTATATCATATTTCAAGTATTATTTTATCAAATTTTTACTAACTTCACCTAAACTTTCATAAAAATTTACAGCTAATTTTAAAACCAAAATGTGAGTATGAATACTCAATTAAAAAAAAATGCACAATATAATACGCTTCATTTTGCCTAATTTGCAATCAGATGATGATGTAATACGCAAAAAGTGGAACTTGATAACTATGGCGTTATAAAATTACATATATTTACAGTACAAAACATTTAACCTATTTACAATTGACCAGTATGTTCCTATATCTTTGTATAAAAACAAAATTAGAATTTAAAATCGTTTAGATGTTAAAATTCATTCTACGATAAAGAAGGCAATTTTAGAGAGCAAAATTGTCCTAAATAAATAAATGTAAACACTTTTTCTAACGTTGACTTCATTTAATTACTTCTATAAAACATTAGTTACAAAAAATAGAGTTTGCCTTAATAAAATAATAAAAAACAAGAGCACTTACAACTAAACGACTGATATACATATATATCTCATACAGAATCCGATTGTATTATCAAAATTTGGTCTATATCACTTTTACAGCCGCGCAAAAATAACACAATTGTGCGCACATATCAATAGGTATCCAAAAAACAAGAGTTAATATGTAATAAACACTTTTGTCAAAAATTTTGACGCATGTAAGGAGAAAACTGGAACGGAGGTAAACATATAAGAAACGTTGGTTCATATATCCGTAGTTTCCTTTACTACTAGAAAAACATAATTATCCCTCCCGCATAATCTCCTTAAACAAACTAAGATAACAGTAGTTTCCGTACGTCTGCTTCGACTCCAAACTCAAAGTAATAAAACTATAACGAACATACGGCACAAAACAGAGAGCAGACCGTAAATTATATTAACGACCAATCATGAGATTAGTGAGTTGACTACCTCAATAGCTTTTTCACAACACCGCGCCCTACAAGGAACTTTGCTGGATACCTTCCCTTTGGTATTTAGTGAACTGCAGGAATATCTGCTCTAGTGTGGTCTGCGATATGCTGTAGTCTTCCACTTCCAGCTCTCGCTTGGCTCGCTCGATGACGCCGAACATTCTAGACCACGCCATACTTCTATCCGGTAAGTAGTATGTCAATAGACCTTGATACTCTTCCCTGGGAATAAAAAAAGATATGATGATACAGACAGACAAAAAAGTTATGCCTAATGACAAAAATGTTTTTTTTTTAATGGACAACTTACATGAGTTTTGGATCGGTGAAATTACAATTGATGAAATTCTTCACAGACACAACTGTGTTCTCATTTGGTGTTCCATCTTCATCCATTTTCATTTTTATTGTCAGAGTGAAACCTGGAAATAAACATTTTATAGAACACTTTGTAAAT